GTTCACTGTACCTCCTTTTTGCTTCCCCTTTACCAATCGTGAAATCCTTTGCTCCGATAACTTGATAGCTTGCTCAGAAAATGTGAGATGGCATTTTACCATCCTTGCTTCTAAAACATATTCCGGTTACGCTTAGATGTGTTTGTTCTTCCGGAAGCCCATGTTATGTTTAATTACCTTCACTGACACCTAAGTCATAAGCCTCGATTCTTCTCTGGTCTTCCTGCTTTCCTGTCCAGCAGTTGCATGTAAGTGTGGCATTGAAAGTATAATAGGTTAGGCTTGAAGCACCCTATCAAGTTGACCTCTTTCTGAAACATTTTGGTTAATGCAATCATTCATCAGTTTCTGGTCTCTGGCTTCCACGAACTTTGATTGTGGATCCAAGCAAAATGGAATCTTGACAGTATCAATATTTCCTTCTTTTTTCATCATGTTGCTTATTAGCTTAGCGGCAAGAATTTTTGTTCTCTTTTTGTTAAGGTGTAGGCCAAATGAAAAACTCCAGTCTTTTTTCTACAACAAGGAATGCTTCTCGTCTTCTTCACTGTTATGTAGCAAAGCGGGATGCTGCCCATATTACAGGCTTTTAAGGAATCTTCCTTCAGTCCTAAAGCAGCTTCTCAATCATTTGCACGGCATACGAAATGTGATCAGGGTTGTGAAAAGGTGCAATGCTGAAGTATACCTTTACTGATCGTAAACCAAGCAGCTATGTCTAAACTACCTATTGTTCTGCGTACGGAGTATAACTAAGTGCTCTGAAATCCGTTATTTGTGATGTGATCCATATTCATTTACAGTCCACACAATTGAAAAGCTTTGCACAGTCAATAAGACATAGATAAACATCGTTCAGATATCTTCAATTTAAGCTAAGATGCATCTGACCTCAGCAAAAATATCTCTGTTTCCACACCCCTTTCTGTATCTGCCTTGCATTTCTGACTGCTCCGTGTTGATATAAAGCTGAATTATCTTCAACAAAAATTTACTTAGTATGCTATTAATGATATTGTTCAGTAATATCTACATAAGATTGAATCACCTTTCATTAGCATGAGCATAAATGTGAATCCCTTCCAGTTAGTTGGACCTGTGACTATCTTCCGAATTTCATAGCATAGATCAGTGATCACTCCCATAGTTGCATCTTGTTTATTAAACCATCTCAATTGGTGTTTTGCCAATTTCTGTGGACTTGGTTATATAAATGGCTTCAGTGCAGCTCAGACTTCTTTCAGTATCATCAATTTTTATCATATGCTACTTTCAGAAGCAGTTGAACATCTACCAATTCTTTTTCTACAGTGAATTTATATTCATTTTATCTTAACTTGATGTGCTTATGTCAGTACATATTTTGTACATAAACTTTTTCAATACTTTGATTCATTTATTAATGACTAATGAGCTATAATAAACATTCCATAACCCATGTCAGTGTTTGGATTTTATATATATATGTATTTAAAGTGCATAAAAGAATGGAATAAAAATTTATAAAGGTGCATTTGCAAAAAGTGCCTCCATTTTGAAATAGTTGTGCATTAATGTATATAATTTAAAGAACGTATCAGCTACTGATGAGTTAATCACTTAAATGAACCTGTGTTGTCATTTTCATTTAGATGCATGCTAAGCACTGAAGTCAATGTTTTATAGTAACCCCTTAGCATTTCTAGATAATAACTCATTAATGGTCTTGTATTTCTGTGACCTTATTAGAATATTTCTGATTCTTCCTTTTTCATCTAATAGGAGATAAATGATGTGGATGTACAGGAACTTGTAAGGAGGTCCATTGGAAGATTAACAATTATTCGGCAGACATTTCCAGTTCCACAGAATATAAGTCAGCGATGTTTCCGTGGCAACCATCGAATATCTTCAACACTGTGTGATCCAAAGGACCCATTTGCTCAAAGTATGGAGGTATGGCCTAAATTAAGGTATATTCCATGTAGAGTGTTCCGCTTATGATCATTTGAAATCTCACCAAGTGGGTTTGGTTTCAGAATTTTACACCGTGACATTTTTATACTCTTCCACCAGCAACCCAGTTATTCTGGTGGAGAATAGTAAGGGTCTGTATATTTGAGATGCTTGATCATAGTCTAGAAAAATACCCACTTTTTAAATAAAATTATAATAAATAAATATTATTATCCTTCTCCGGAAGTTGACTTGTAGCATCACAGATGGTAAAATTTGTGATTGATTTCCTTTAAGGCCAAACTTGAAATTAATAAGCTAATAAATGTGTTTGAATCCCAGGCATAAAAAATGCAGAGGAGTTTTTTTCTTAAAGATTAATGCACGGTATGAGAACCTCATTCAAAAAATTCATTAAAAGTACAAAAATCCTGTATTATTATTTTGTATTACCTCACTTAAATGCATTATGGATGAAGTATTTTTCTTTTAGAATACAACAAAAATTAAAATGTAAATAAATAAAATCTTTGAGCACAAAATAGACAACTTCAAGCTCCAAATCCTTACTCATAAGATTGCCCTGTAAATAGCTACTTATGATTTTTCCTAAGACAAGCATATTACATCTTTTTTGTTATTATTGTTTTCTTTGAACTAAGGGATTCAGAATGTCAATTTGAAGTGAGTATATCAAAAGGCAATCACATGGGTATA